AACCCTGTAATTGTGCCAGATGAATCAATTAAGTCGTATATGACTAAAGTCATATATTAATCCCGTAATTGTGCCACCATCTTTTAAACTGAACATCGGTGTTGCTTTGAAATGGCTAACAGCAATAGTTATTAAAATGGTTGTTTTTTGTTCTGAGATTACAAAGTAAGTGTGGTTTAATTTTTTACACATTGGATGTAAAACATACTTTTCTTCTAGCTACTGAGACATTACATAAAGTTATAAAAAACATCCATTTGTAAGATAAATTTGCATTTATAGTTTATTAAATTAATGAGATGTTTAGATGTACTAAAGCTATTTATTTATGCATAATAATGTGCTTAGTAATAATTAAAAATAGAGACATATTTATTTTCACAGGGAATCATCCACCTCATCTGTAGCCGACTATCTGATGGGCCAAGGCCATTTGAGTCTCTGTATGGACTACGGCTGAGCCACATTACATCAGAAGAAACGTACTGGCTGCATGTGGACACTACCATGTATCAGGTGTTGGAAAAATATCAGTCTCGCCACCCAGCTGATCAGTGGAGGTTAGAAAAAGCTATATGCGTGTTAGATAAATTTTTCATTTGAAGGATGCAACTATTTCAGAGAAATTAAAATATTGAAGCATATTTCAACTTTCTGTGTGAAATATTGCAATACTTAGCAGGTGCTAGAACCAGTTTTGTTCAACTGAACCTTGAAATTACTTCCTTAAACTTTTGCAATCAGAAAAATAATTATTGAAATTGTTATGACAGAGGAAGTCACGCGACGCTGGAAGCATGCGCACTGGAGTGTCTAGAAGGATTATGACTTTTCCTGGCATCTCTAGTCTGTTCTAGGTGCCCTCTTTTTTTTAGTATATAAGCCCAGCAAATAAAGTGGAGGTATAATGACAGATAGTTAGAGAGATTGAAGATTGAAATAATTGTGTCAAGTGACGGTAATATAAAGTGTGTGTTTTGTTATCGAGATTGCAAACATATTGACTGTGGAAATTCTGTGTATTGCAAAATTGTATCAAGAAAAAATAAACTAGTTTTAATTAAGAAAGGACTTGTATCGCTGAAGTTGCTCGGAAAGAGTTTCTACGGGAAATTAACAAACGACCAGATAGATACGCAACAAAATGTTTTGAGATGTAAAAATTCTTTCCCTAATTTTGAACCAGTGTTCTGATACATTTGCATGTCTTGTGTTACATGTTTTTTGTTTCTACTAGAAACTGTTGTATTTTGATGTGGTTTTTGAATAGTTAGATGAGTTGAAATTTTTAAAGTGTTTGTATTTGTTGAGCTTTGATTGTATTTTTTAGGCTTTGTTTGTATTTTTTAGGCTTTGTTTGTATTTGTTAGGCTTTACTTGTATTTATTAGACTTTGTTTGTATTTGTTAAGCTTTGTTTGTATTTGTTAGCTTTATTTGAATTTATTAGGCTTTGTTTGTATTTATTAGACATTGTTTGTATTTCTTAGGCTTTGTTTGTATTTCTTAGACTTTGTTTGTATTTGTTAGGCTTTGTTTGTATTTGTTGAGCTTTGATTGTATTTTTTAGGCTTTGTTTGTATTTCTTAGACTTTGTTTGTATTTGTTAGGCTTTACTTGTATTTATTAGACTTTGTTTGTATTTATTAGACATTGTTTGTATTTCTTAGGCTTTGTTTGTATTTCTTAGGCTTTGTTTGTATTTGTTAGGCTTTGCTTGTATTTATTAGACTTTGTTTGTATTTGTTAGGCTTTGCTTGTATTTATTAGACTTTGTTTGTATATGTTAAGCTTTGTTTGTATTTTTTAGGCTTTGTTTGTATTTGTTAGACTTTGTTTGTATTTGTTAGGCTTTGCTGTTGATGTACTTCAGCTATTTTCATATCATTAATGATTTATTTTTGCTCTAAGAGATGGTGTAAATTTTTGGCTCCTCCTTACAGTTTCGTAAGGTGATGCACTCTGTGCTGTTTTGTTTTTCAGTTATGACTGTACACATATATGTATTATGCTTTTCAACTACACTAGGTATGATCTGCGGGTTCGTTACTTACCACAAGATCTTCGGGAAATATTTGAGAAGGATCGGGTAACCTTTCAGTATTTTTATGAACAGGTAAGACTGTTTTCATTAAATTCTTTTTGAATCAATATTTTTTTTGTGACATTATATTTAACATTCGATGTTATCATTTATTGTGTGCTTTGAAAGGAATTGTATTTTTATGCACCTGCTTAACATAACTGTTGATTGCAGATTTTCCTCAATAAATACTTGGAAGTATTCATTTTGTAAGATAAACCACATAGAACGGTGAATTTTAAATAATTGCATTACATTTAATGCATACATTTACTAGGGAACAAATTTTCAAAAGTTTAAAATTATTACTGTCCAAAAAAAAAAGATAATTTTGTCATCTTGTATTCAAAAGTGTTGTAAGGTGATGTGTAACAAAAGTGTTGTAACAAACTGTTTGATACCATAGTAATAATACTGTGAACTATGCAATAACTCATACACAGGTGTTTCTAAGTAAATATTTATACTTCTGATACTTATTACATTCTGTAACTCTGTGATCTACACAATTATTCATTCATAAGCTTCTCAACAAACATCATTCTCTGTCTGTTTGTCTACTGTTGATGTTGATTGTTTATCAAATCCTTGAATTTTCACCTGTAAGACTAACATCATAGGTTCTTTAGGAAGCAAGTTCCTGTTTATACTTCCAAATACATTTTAGAATTGGAAGTTAAGATTGGTATCTTACAAACTGGCCACTGTATATTTTTATTTTGTATAAATTTGTATGGTAGATGAATCCTCATTTTGATATACATTTAGTATCTTACAAACTGGCCACTGTATATTTTTATTTTGTATAAATTTGTATGGTAGATAAATACTCATTTTAATGTACATTGTTTTAATTTCTCCCGTTATCAGATAAAAAATGAATTTTTGAAACTTGAGAACAGTGTGGACCAAGAACTGGCATTACAGCTCTGTTGTATAGAGATTAGGTTAGTATAAACATGATGTTATATACTAAAACAAGGTGTTGTATAGAGATTAGGTTAGTATCAACATGATGTTATATACTAAAACAAGGTGTTGTATAGAGATTAGGTTAGTATCAACATGATGTTATATACTAAAACAAGGTGATGTATAGAGATTA